TGTGATTTTTACTATATTGTTTGATCGACGGTATCTCAACCTGTTAAACAATACAAATAACATTTAAGTTTTGATACAAAGTGAATATCAAATTTCAACTCCATGTCTAAACTTGGTCTTTGATAGATGATAAACTTATATAAAAACTTAAAAGATGTTTCTCAATAATGATTCAAACTACAAATATTCAATAAAAGCAAAGATCAAAAGAAATGCATACTTGTTTAGATTAATTACATCTAATCTCGATACAATGTGTTTAACTACACATCATTGTAGCTTGCTTCACAAGAAATAAAGAGGGATGAATGAGCATCTAAGTTAGATAATAGACAATGGATGCGAATCCAGCTCCGATTAAATAATTGTGTCTTCTTTTGCTTCAAAACTGAGTTTCTAGGGTTTTTGGTTCAAGAGAATGTGAGATTATAAGATAGACTGCACAAAATCAGCATTGAATCCTTTAAATATCTATTCCCGTATGTCATGTCTCGCCCGACGAACTCCATTTTTTGGCACTTCCAACTGCCTGTTGATCATCAAACCGCCATTGGTAAAATATCTAACCTCGCCTGGCGAACTCAAAATCTCAAACCTTCATCAGGAGACCATGGCATGGTTTTGCCACTACCTCAACTTTGATTTGTCTTGCCCCGACCTCGCCAGAGCTCGCTGGGCGAGCTCGCTTCTTGCTCGTCAACTCTCGTCTGGAAAACATGTTGATTTTCTACATTTTTTGCTTTGCTCCACTTTCTTGGTTTTGTGCCCTTTTTCTTTGGTTTCTTGACAAATTTCCTGCATACTAGCGCGCGCACACACACACACACAAAGATACCAAAGCCACATGCAAATATTATTACATTTTACACAAACTTAAGGAATTCAACAATTGAAAGCGTAAAGTAGTTCGAAAAATGCCAAGTTTTTATGTGAATATTTAGTTAAGATATGCATTCAACAAACTCTCCCTAACTCAAATCTTTGTTTCTCCTCAAGCAAATTATACTTCTCACTAAAACAAGATGATTTGCTTAAGCATAATGTAACACCCATATATCAATACATATGTCTAGAAGATGCATATTATACATATTTGTTAGTTTGATACTGCAAAACACATAAGTTCCTAGAAACACGTTTTATATATTACATGCCAAAACACTAAAAGTCTAAAACAATGGCATAATATACACAAGATTCCCAAAAGACTAAGAACAAGATCATATCAAATGATCTCAAAATAGAGTCTTCACAACAGAAATGCCATCCCAAAAAGCCAAGGCAAGTAAAGATATCAAGCGATCTTATCCTTACCCTTCACGGAACCAGAACCACCTGAAAAACATTCAACAACACGGGGTGAGATGATTATCCTAGTGGGGTCTCTATCTTATGGATTCTACCAGCTTTACAAGGTTCTAACCAATCTTAAATTAAGTCAAAAGGGAAGAGACATGACTTGAGCTCAAAACTCCACACTATACAGAAACATGTTGCTTAAGTTCAACAACTCAAACTATCACCAATCAGTAACCACATCAAGGCATCTTTCCTTGGCCAACCCTACAACTAGAGTTATTGACACATGTCATAAATCCTTGTATCTACTTTGACATACAAACTGGATTTAGATTCAAGATACTTTCAACATGAATCGTCGCTTCCCATGGGAGCACCCTCATCTCAAGCATTTTACCCGTGTGCTCCATTCGTACTACACACGGGAATCAAACCTGTCAAAGTAATAGTGCGTACATTCTGGAGGATACTATTATAAAACGCATAAACAACAACGCCATGGTCACCACGGTTCTTCCCTACACCGTGGTGAAATCTCTAAACTAAGGCGCTATCATATTATTTTTGTTTTTTGATTAAAAATTATTTGTACATAACAACAGTTGAGGAGCCAACCGTGGTGATACCTCAAGCTTTCATGGGTTCGAACCTCAACGTCCTCATATAAATTATTCCTTTAATGTTAAGGCACATCTTTTATTTTATTTATTTATTTTTAAATAAAAAAATTAAAGGGTCATTATGACTACGGTTGATGAGTTCCACCGTTGTGATATATTTTGTTTTTTTATTTAAAATTTTTAATTGTAAATTAAACTCTAGCGCTTCTTTATGAAATTTCACTATGAAAGTAATATATCATAACAGTTGTTGATATTGGTCGTGGTGGTAGCTTCATAATATTATACACTCCTAGTTAGCTTATCTCTTCAGTATCCCTTTTTCCATTAAAAATAAAAACAATACTTGAAACAATACACGATTTCAACCCTAAACCCTAACCTTCAATACTGTGAAACAATACACGACTTCAACTAAAACACCATCGTTCACCCTAGCTTGTCTCTTCAGTATCCATTATTCACTGTGTATTTGTCATTTTCGTCATCATCGTCAAGAAGGTTGACAAGACCATCACGATTGTGACGTCGAGAAGGAATAGTACACCAACCGAGTTATCACCGTCGAGAAGGAACACAACAACAACATCGTCATTGCCCCAATTCACATCATTCCGCAACTCATCAGGTGAAAAAATTTTGATCGATTTTGATTCGTTCTACATAGTAGTGGATTGTAAATATTACTCTACTTTTAAGAGTTATGTTGCGTTTCTTGCACGTAGCAAAGTCAGTATACTGATAGATGATTGGAAACAAGTGGATGATCAAGTAAAAGAAAACATATGGACAGACGTTAAAGTATTATATACTATAATTTTCATATATTTGATATCACTACCTATCATTTCTAATACATACTTATATATTGATTTAAATGTAGTTGAACTTTGAGTTTACCGATGACTCAAAGTTGAAAAAAATGGATATCTTAGCGGTACTCGTTAGAGGGGATTTAAGTCACAACTCACGACTGAATACATTAGGAAGCCTAAGAGCGGTCTTGCTCGTCCATGGATTCGATATAGTTTTATATCGAAGCAATGGAACAAGTTTGCGAAGATACGTCGTTTTGAGGAATTCAAGGTTAATACTAGTCTTATGTAACCGATAATGTTATGCTGATGAGTTATAAATACTAATCATATATATTTTTCACTATGTTAATAACAGGTTAAAAGCGAAGTAGGAATACAAAACAAGGAAAATAACATGTACCTCAATATATTGTCTCGTGGGGGTTACAGGAAACTTGAGAAAAGAATCATGCTTGAAAAATAACTAGAAACAAGAGATGATCGCATCCCATCTCTACTGTTAAGACATGAGAAATGGAAGAGGGCTCAATTAAGACCAAATGGAGAGTACACCTCCGAGGCGTCAAGAGAAGTTGCTGAGAAAATTGTAAGTATGATTTATTTTGCTTATGTTATTTGTTATTTAAATGTGTTGGTAACAATATATGTAAGTTTCTCATGTTGTGTAGGATAAGTTGGTTGAGGCGGCCCGTGAAGGCACGTTTGTTCAAGAAGCACGACATGACATATTAGTAGAAGCTATCTGAACAAATGAGCATGATGAGCGTGTTCATGGTGTTGAAGAAGGTGTCGGCTTGAGGTCATTCTTTGGATCTCAAAGAAAAAGTATCAAAAGCTCAAAATTTAATGCACAAAGACAAAAGATTGAGAATTTTGAGAAGCAGTTAGAAGAACAGAGAAGGATCTTAGATGAGGAGAGGGGAAAAAGGGAGAAAGATATGGAAAGATTTCAAGAGTTATATTCGGTATGTGCTTTACTTTAGATGTTATTGTTTTATCAGAAATGTATGGTATATATTATGCTTATTTTTATTTTATGTTCTAATTGAATATTATGATGTAGAGATTAAGTGAAAACCTCGAACAACGTACAAATGAAGATCATCGTTATGTTGATGGTAATGATGATGATCATCAAACTCTAAGTAGAAGTGTTGCACGTCGTGCTTCTACAAAAGGAAGTAATTGTTCAACCCCTCCCCCTCCAGATAACCGCAATGACATAATGAACCCTAACGAAAATGAAATTACCATGTTATACTTGAACATTGTGATGATAAATGATATGCAACCTCTCCCGCTAGAATATTGTCCATGTTTGGAGTTATTCTGTTACAGTCCTGGTGATGTAAGGGATTTTCTCGGTGAATATAAGTGGCTCGACGTAGGGATATTGCAAGTCTGGTGCACGTAAGTATATAGTTGAATATACATGTCATTATAGAACATTATCATTTTTTGTATTTTCTCCCTTAATGTATTCATTTTCTTTAACCATTTAGGTACATTCACCGTGTTTGTATAGAGTAAATAAATTGAGTATTTATGGAATCTTGGATCCGCTTTTTATTCGATGAGCGTTTAATAAAAAAATAATTGCTTATGCAAAATATTTATTACCGATATCAGTGTTTTGTTGATATAATACAAATTTTTTATTAAAAAAACTTAACATTCTTAATTTTTTTCTTCTAATTATCGACATCGTACTAAATCAAACAAATATTTAAAAAAACAATTGTTATCTATGCTCTGATAAGTCTAATTTAAACATATCTTAATATATAAATGCAAAGTTAACCAATAATAAATTAATAAAATATATATGATACAAATGAAAATAATAAATAAATATTAAAATATATGTATATAACTTGATTTAATTTGCAAAAACTGATTCAAAATTCAATCTACTATAAATATTTTTTATAAAACAACATCAAATCACATTTAATAATATTTAACTATATAAAATTTTAGATTATTTTAAATTCAGTTTGCAATTTTAATTAAAGATGAATTACATTTCAAAGCGCTCATTACAAAAAAATAAACGTTTTCTAAGTCTCTCTCTCATCCATCGATCGCCGCCGAGAAATCCTTTGCGAAACTCATCTCTGCCGTCTCTCGTCCATCGATCGCCGCCGAGAAACCCTAGCTGAGTTTAGCTTCATTTAATTCCTCTATTGCTCGAATTGAGAAACCCTATTTTCACTGAGATTGCTCTATTGCTGTTTGTATTTGAGTTTAGTTGCATACTATCATGGAGGTAAGTAACATTTTCGTTCTTTCTCCGTCGTTTGGATTTTGGTTTAGTTGTTGATTTTGTTTTTTCTGTCTGTGATTAGAAGATCCAAGGGGCTGAGGTAGTTGACATTGATAAGACGACCATGGTTATGGAGCCTGAGAAGTCTACCGGAGGTGGACTCTTTGTTCCTGGGAAGGAAAGGGTAGTGTATGTTGCACCGGAGAGAAAATCGCGATTAGGTACTGCTTTGTTTTGTAGCTCAATGTTTTACTCATATTGGTTGTTCATATCGGATATGATTTCGTGTTGTACATTGCTTTTCATTGTTTGTTTTAATGAATGATTTAACAGGACTAGATACCCTTGCCATTGCAAAACGTGGAGAGTCTCATAGTGAAGCGGCATTCAAGGTGCCAAAAGAGATTACCACATCTATTGCAGCAGCTGCAGACGATGAAGACGAGTCCTCTACTGTTGAGGAGGGTGAACACACGGGTGCACGGCATTCTCATAGAAGATACCGTGAGACAACAAGTGAAACAACACGTGCGGGTATTCTTTTGGTTATATAGTTAGTTTCCTTTTGCTATATGTTGCATTTGTCTATATTTTATTAGCATTTGGCTATATTTTATTATCATTTGGCTTTATGTATAACTAACCTCAGTGATGAAATATTAAGCTGTTTCGAAGAGTAAACTTCAACTTTGTTGGAAGTGCATATCTTGAATTTTAAATTCAAATCCTACTAATGGGGTATCATTTTTTTTTATGAAGTGGGTATGAGTTCAATCAAATGAGATTAGACTAATATGTTTAAGGGTAACCGAAAAGGAATTTTCTCCAACTTTCAGTGCTTAATGTATCTGATGACAATTTAGAGTTCTCATACCATATTGCTTTTTTGTGTGTATGTCTGGAGTTTTGGTGTTAGTTTTGTTTCTCAAAAAATGAAATTAATAATCAAAGATCAATAACTTTGTCTTTACAGATAGCTCTCTTACTGAAGAAGCTTCACCATCACGTGGATATGACAGGGAGAGTCATAGGAGCAACAGGAGAGACGACGATAGTGAGAGGAGCGACAGGAAAGACGGTTATGAGAGGAGCGACAGGAGGGACGGTAGTGAGAGGAGTCACTATCATAGGAGTGAGCGAAGGGAAGATCACAGGAGGGAGAGGCATTCTGGTTACCATAGAAAGAGAACCAGATATGACAATGATGATTATAGGAGGGAGAGGAGTTATTCTGGTATGTATTTGTTACTGTCCTGTTTTTGTAATTCGTTTAATTAATCAAAGTACTAACCATTTTTAATGACCGGTAAGAATATGTAAGAATGACAAATGTATTTGTATCTGCAGGAAGGTCTGACTGGGACAGTGGCAGATGGGAATGGGAAGATACTCCACGGAGGGATAGCGTATCTAGCTCTAGACGACATCAACCTTCACCATCACCAATGTTCGTTGGTGCCTCACCTGATGCACGACTAGTTTCTCCGTGGTTGGGCGGCCATACTCCTAATTCATCTTGTATGTTATTTCAATTTCCCAATATTGTATTTGGTTTCGAATGCCAATGTCAAGACTGTATACGTATACAATAATCTTTGACAAATAAATTTATTTTACCTCAGATACACCTTCTCCTTGGGACCATGTTTCTCCGTCTCCTCTTCCAATACGTGCTTCTGGATCTTCTGTCAAATCTTCTATTTCTCAATATGATCGAAAGTCACATACGTATAAGGTAATTTCGTACCTAATGTCAAAACATTACAGTGTATTTGATGGTTTATCATAGATAGACTATGACAGTGATGTTTAACATATCACAAAAAACTAGCTACTAATAATTTTATTCCTCAGGAGGAAATAGCTGGTAAGTCTGATTTGGACGAAAAACACTCGTATACTGAGATAACTGAAAGCATGCGTGAAGAGATGGAACGCGATGCAGACCGAGCATGGTATGTAATTTAGTTTTGCAGGTTATTTTTGTTTTATATTTATACTTTTGAAGACATTTTTCTATATTTGACATGTTTGATGTTGTATTGTTTAATATAATTGATTAATTATTGTTATGAAGGTATGATAGAGAAGAAGGAAGCACATTTGATTCTGACAACTCATCACTATTTCTGGGAGATGAAGCTTCCTTTCAGAAGAAAGAGGCCGAGTTGGCTAAAAGACTGGTAACTCCTAGAATATCAATTATATATTTAAATTAAGTTATCTTTCCCTTAAATTAAGTTATGTGCTTGACTGTTATTCATTTGGAGAATCAATTACTTATTGGATATCAATTCCATATATATTTAAACTAAATTATGTTTGCGGATTATGGCAGAAAAACCCGCAATAGCGGACGATATTTACCATTGCGGCAAGCCCAAAAACCACCATGTATTTCGGCCATAGCGGCCATGGCGCCGCAATTTGATAACACTGGTTTGCATTCTGTAAAAAATGTTGTTAAATAGGGAAATTAAAGATAGTTATTGACCTTAAGGAGAGTCAATATAATTTAATATTGAACTGTGAACTGGTTCTATATTCATCATCATAGCATGACATTTTTTTAAGTATACACTTAGATCTCATTTAGCCAAATATTTAAATTGATTAGAAGTTACCATTACGATCCTTCTAATTAAATCCTTCTAATTAAAATTTGGTGCAGTTACTTATATTTTGTACATGCCCTTGGTTGTTGCGGTGACAATATAGATAGACATGTTTTAGCATGTAGTCTAAGCCTACCAACGTGAGTAATTGGCCTTAGAATCTGGTATTTATTTTAAATAAATGGACTAAACCATTAATTTGTTGAAGATTCTGGTTTTCTGTGTCCAATTTCAATATCTCAACTCATGTTCTTTTCTTTGAGTTGGTATGTAATTTATGGCCCCACATTTGTCTGGTCGAGTTGCTTATGTACCAAGTGTTCAATGTATTGGCACAGACCCGAAGAGATGGGACAAAGATGTCTCTTTCACAAAGCAAGAAATTATCTCAGCTTACAGCTGATAATGCTCAATGGGAAGATCGGCAACTGCTAAGATCGGGTGCTGTTAGAGGTACAGAGGTCCAGACTGAATTTGATGACGAGGATGAACGCAAAGTCATTCTTCTTGTGCATGGTAATTATTGGTCATACCAACTTTGACAATTTAACGGAGAATTGTTGATCTTTTTGGCTGAATATCTTTTTACTATTGGTTCACAGATACCAAGCCTCCTTTTCTCGATGGTAGAGTTGTTTTTACTAAGCAGGCAGAGCCAATTATGCCAATAAAAGATCCAACATCAGACATGGCTATAATTTCTCGTAAAGGATCTACTCTGGTAAGAGAAATTCATGAGAAACAGAGTTCAAATAAGTCTCGCCAACGCTTTTGGGAACTTGCTGGCTCAAAACTTGGTGATATCTTAGGCGTTGAAAAAACAGCAGAACAGGTATTCTTCTGGAATAATTTTGATATTCAGTTTTACTCTCTTATTGGTTTAAAGATTTAGTCTTATTTATATTTTTTCAAACACTAGATTGATGCCGACACTGCTGTAGTGGGTGAGGATGGTGAGATTGATTTTAAGGAGGAAGCGAAGTTTTCACAACACATGAAGAAGGGAGAAGCTGTGAGTGACTTTGCTAAGTCTAAAAGTCTTTCTGAGCAAAGGCAATATCTGCCTATTTTTTCAGTGCGAGAAGAGTTATTACAGGTTGGTTTTTCTGTTTTACCTTTGGTGATTATTTTTGGGGTTGCTTTTTTTTTTCTATCAAGTTTTTTTATTTTATTTTTATTTATTTATTTATTTTTACAAAATATCACAATCAAACAGTCTAAATCTTTAAGATGATTAGGATATCAAATACGGATTGGACATGTCCATTCTGTTTTACTTTTTTTTTGTCATAGTCATCAGGTACTATACAGTTAGATGACCACATTTGTAATTTTTTTTATCATGATAGAACAAGACCCAAGTCCCATTTCCTTATTTCATCATACACTCACATTTTTAACTGTTTTGTTGTGTTTTGTTTCCACTTTGATTTTCTAATTAAGACATATTTTTCTCATTGAGTTATTGCAACAATTTATTTATGATGTGTAGGTGATTCGTGAAAATCAGGTGGTGGTTGTAGTTGGGGAAACTGGTTCAGGAAAGACAACCCAATTGACACAGGTTGTTATCGTTTTCTTTTTTATATTATTAAATTATGTTATTCAATCAAGAAAGGAAAAAATCATATTAAAAACACATGTTATTTGTTAGAAATAGATAACCATGTTTATCAAAATAGAACTTGACATTTGGTATTTCTGAACAGTATCTGCATGAGGATGGGTATACTATAGGTGGTATAGTAGGTTGCACCCAACCAAGGCGTGTGGCAGCTATGAGTGTTGCCAAGAGAGTTAGCGAGGAGATGGACACAGAGTTAGGCGATAAAATTGGATATGCTATACGTTTTGAGGACGTGACTGGACCAAATACCATAATAAAGGTGAACAATTCTATTTATATTTTTTGAAATTGACAAATGTTATAGTATATGTTAGTAGTTATATTGTGGGTGGGAAAATAACCCTCAGCTCAACCTACTTAACACTCAACTCCTCCACTCCGGCCACTTAGCCAACCTTATATAAAATCAAAATTAACCATATGCTTTGTTAGAAGTACTATTACATGATGTATTTTCATCGTTAGTATTCACGAGTCAGACGTGCATTGTAATTGTGTGGTTACGTTTAATCATAAACTTTTTGGTGCTTTGCTCTAAACTTTAGTGCTTAAATTTTACAGTACATGACAGATGGGGTTCTACTACGTGAAACACTTAAAGACTCTGATTTAGATAAGTATAGGTATGGTATTGACGAATCTTCCTTTCTCAATGTCTTGTTTGTTTGAGGTAAAGACAATGTTAGTAATCGTTCGGTTTGAAACTGTTTCAGGGTTATTGTGATGGACGAAGCCCATGAAAGGTCATTAAGCACAGATGTCCTTTTTGGAATATTGAAGAAAGTTGTAGCCCAACGCCGTGATTTCAAGCTGATTGTTACATCAGCAACTCTGAATGCCCAGAAATTCTCCAATTTCTTTGGAAGGTAATGTTAATTCCTCATATAGCATTCTCTCTAGTTTTTATTTATAGCTATAGTTTGGTTCAATCTGATTGGGGTATCCTTGCAGTGTTCCGATTTTTCATATTCCTGGGAGAACATTTCCTGTCAATATATTATGGAGCAAAACTCCATGTGAAGATTACGTTGAAGCTGCAGTGAAGCAAGCTATGACTATTCACATAACCAGCCCTCCAGGTGACATCCTTATCTTCATGACTGGCCAAGATGAGATTGAGGCAGCTTGCTATGCCCTTGCTGAAAGAATGGAGCAGATGATATCATCTTCAAACAAAGAAGTCCCAAAACTTTTGATTCTTCCCATATATTCTCAACTTCCGGCCGACTTGCAAGCAAAGATATTTCAGAAAGCTGAAGATGGTGCGCGCAAATGTATTGTGGCCACTAATATTGCTGAGACATCACTGACTGTGGATGGTATCTTCTTTGTCATAGACACAGGCTATGGTAAAATGAAGGTGTACAACCCTAGGATGGGTATGGATGCTCTCCAAGTCTTCCCTGTTAGCCGTGCTGCTGCTGACCAGCGTGCTGGCCGAGCTGGTAGAACTGGCCCTGGCACCTGCTATCGATTGTATACAGAGAGTGCTTACCTAAATGAAATGTTGGCCAGTCCAGTTCCAGAGATTCAGAGGACCAACCTTGGCAATGTGGTTTTGTTACTGAAATCTCTTAAAGTTGAAAATTTACTCGACTTTGATTTCATGGATCCACCTCCGCAGGATAATATTCTCAATTCTATGTACCAGTTGTGGGTGTTGGGTGCCCTTAACAATGTGGGGGGATTGACTGAACTTGGCTGGAAAATGGTTGAATTTCCACTAGATCCTCCACTTGCTAAGATGCTTTTGATGGGTGACCAGTTGGGGTGTCTCGAGGAGGTTCTTACGATTGTTTCTATGCTTTCAGTACCATCGGTTTTCTTTAGGCCAAAGGACCGAGCAGAGGAGAGTGATGCTGCACGTGAAAGATTTTTTGTACCTGAATCCGATCATCTAACGCTTTACAATGTTTATCAGCAATGGAAACAACATGATTACAGAGGGGACTGGTGCAACGATCATTTTTTGCATGTTAAAGGTCTCAGAAAGGCTAGAGAAGTGAGATCCCAGCTGCTTGATATTCTCAAGACTCTCAAAATTCCTTTAACCACATGCTGGCCCGATACAGATGTCGTCAGAAAAGCAATTTGTTCTGCGTACTTCCACAATTCAGCAAGATTAAAGGGTGTCGGGGAGTATGTTAACTCCCGAAATGGGATGCCTTGTCACCTTCATCCCAGTAGCGCTCTCTATGGCATGGGTTGCACTCCTGATTATGTAGTTTATCACGAGTTAATCTTGACAACAAAGGAGTACATGCAGTGTGCCACAGCGGTGGAGCCCCACTGGCTCGCAGAGTTAGGTCCCATGTTTTTCTCTGTGAAAGAGTCTGATACATCACTACTAGAACATAAAAAGAAACAGAAGAAAGAGAAAACAGACATGGAAGAGGAAATGGAGAATTTAAAGAAGGAGCAAGCAGAGTTCGAGAGAGAAAATAAACGGAAGGAGAAGGAAAAGATGGCCAAGAATCAACAGCAAATTTCCATGCCAGGTTTGAAAAAGGGTTCATCCACATTCTTGAGACCAAAAAGGTTTGGTTTGTAAATATTTTATAGTACCGTCAGATGTTAATGAACTCATGGGAGAGAGAGAGAGAGGTGAAAAAAGGCCTACATTTCAATTTTAAGGAGTAATTGGCAAATTACAAATTATTGTTATTGATTTGTTACTGAAGTTATCTTCTCTGGTCATACTTCCTGCTCCTCAGGTTACTGTTACGTATATGTTGCATTGACTGATAGAAGAAATTCACCAGTTACCAAATTGCCATCTATATAGAACTTGTAATATAGTGTTCAGCTGTCATCCATTTATCTTTCAGCCTTTTTCTGTACAAAACACCAAGCTATTAGTACTAAAAGATATTTTTGAGAAAATATTCTCTGCGCAATGAGATATTTGTTTAGATAAGTGCATCAGACTTATTTGTTGATTCAAAAAACCATGAATAATATTGTTGCTTTAACAATTGAATTGTTTTGGCAAAATAGTAGTAGTAACTTACTAAGCATCTCCAGCAATGGTATTCTAAATAAGTTTCATGAGTTAAGATACTTTTTCATATCTTTTTTTCTCTTTTGGAGCATATTTTCATGGCGGATAATCTGTAATGGAATAATGAAACGTGTTTTAATTAAGGTCCTGTATCATAAAAACAATATGTATGGGTTGTTTGAATATGACTTGATATTGGGGAATGTGTAGGATCAAAAGCCATTGTAAAAATAGTTGGCGCCGCAATTTCTGACCAAGTTCTATGTGCTTCGTCGTCTCTTGGACGGAGAAGTTGGCTACAAAATGGTTGTCAAAGTACAACAGAGAAATTAATAGGAAACACATTTGAGAAATGAAATTAATAGGAAACACATTTGAGAAATGAGAAACATATTTCAATGAAATTAATAGGAAACACATTTGAGAAATGAGAAACATAGAATCTATCATAAGAGAAGACAAAACAAATAGAGTACAAAGGAACAATAGTACCAAAGTTCTGCAAATATCTTGGAGGTCTTGTGTCTGTTTGATTTTCTGGTTGTGACAGGAGCAATTGGAGAAGTCTCTTGATGTTGATTAGGGCATGGTGTATAATGGGAGGCACATGAGAGTTGAATGTATGCATGAAATCATGATGCTCATTGTGAGATTTTGGAGGAATGGTGATGGTCATCTTAGGGTAATCCATTAAAATAGTGTTGTCATAATAGCTAATGTCACCAGGAATGCGATTATTAGAAGAGAGTGAAGAATATGAAAATTGATTTTCATAAAAATTGCATCTTTAGAAACAACAACATTTCTCAAATGTAAATCAAACCGAAGAAAGTCTTTTTGTGCCAGCTTTATAACCAAGAAAAATATATTTGCGAGCCCTAAGATCAAGTTTAGATTTGTTATTGATTAAAGTGAAAGCAAAAGTTAAACAACCAAAAAAATTTAAGAACATGAAAAGTAGGAGATTGATTGTAAAGTAGTTTATAAGGAGCTTTGTTTTAAAAGTAGGGATGCATATCCAATTGATGAGATAACTAGCATGGAGTAAAGCACGAGTCTAAAACACTCAGGCATATGAGCATGAAAAAGAAAAGCTTGAGTAACATTAAGTAAATGTCAGGATGTTTTTGCTCCACTTTAGAGTTTTGTTCATGAAGTTTGGTGTATAATTCCTAATGACTTGTAAAAAAAGTCATTACAAATTCAACACCATTATCACTTTGAAAAGATTAATTAGGGCAGAAAATTGAATAGAGAAAAATGCTACAAAATATTTAATGATAGTTATGGTTTTAGATTTATGTAACATATCCAATAGTATTAATCAACGCCATCTAATTTTCATCAATCATACAATATTTTGATTTTTAATTTTTCTCTCTCTTTGTCTCTCTTCAATTTGTGGAAGTCACGGGTTACAGGAGGGAATTTAAGACATTTGAAAAAGATGTGAAAAAAAAAGAAAAAAAAATTGATTCTTATATTAATTATTTTTTAGATTAAATATGTTTGTGATGCTTTTAAATATTTTAATTTTTTATTTTAGTCCCCCAAAATATTTTTAAAAAAATAATTCTTCTATAATTTTTCATTCACATTTTTGCTTCCTCTTAAAAATTAGGGACAGTTTTTACAACTTAGCGATAAAATTGCGACAATTTTAATAATAATTTATTATTTAACAACTGAATTAGCGATGATTTTAGAAATAATTTTAGTATTAAATACTAAAAGTGGATGCAATTTTTTTGAAGAATAATTTTTTTTAAAGAAATATTTTAAGTAACTATAAATAAAATTGAGATATTTAAAAAAAACACAAACATATTTAACCCTTATTTTTACTATGTAAAAATATTATTGAAAAAAAATAGTAAAGAGAATAAATAATTCATTATATATTTGTAAAGTGAATTTGAAAGTGTACAAAATGGTCAATATATGTCTATTGACCAAGCTAACTAACCAGTAAATAGCATCCTAACAAACTTGTCTAAAAAATAGAATTAAATAACAAACTTAATTAGTAACAATTAACTATTATCAAGAACATTTTACAGAAGATAAATATAATAGTTTAAATGATATGTATTAATTAATTAACTTAAATGAATATAAATTATTAATTTAGAATTTGATCTTTAGCAGTAATATTTATTTATATTTACATACTAATGTAAATAAGTAACAATTTTTTTCTTCTAAAACATCATCTTAAAAAGAAAAATAAGAATGTTTAAAAGGTAATACTAGGGCTGGAAATGAGTCGAGTCGAGTCGAACTCACCTCAGCTCGGCTCGACTCGTTAAGAATTGTTCGAATTCGAGTTCGAGTTCGAGTTCGACACGAACTTTTTTTTAAGCTCAAACTCGACTCGTTATAAGTTCACGAACAGTTCGATTCGACTCGTTAGGTTCATCTCATTAGGTTCAGCTCACATGGTTCACGAACTTAAAAACTATTTTTTAAAATATATATATTTTTTAGTATATTTGACATTTTAAATAAATATATATATTTTTAAATAAAATATTAAAATAAAATAAAAGTTATCATATTGATATTTAACTTTATCTTCGAAATCTACTAATTCAAAACCTACACAACTTTCAAGAGATACATTTGAGAGTCTAACTCAAAAACTACTAAATTGAAGATTAAATTTGTCTAAGATTTGAAGTAAATATTTAAACCTAATCTTAAAGACAGTATAATTCTTTTCATATGTAATCGAGTTGACTCATGAACCTAACGAGTCGAACTATGTATAGTTCAAGTTCAGCTCATTTAGTTAACGAACTTAATTTTTCGCTCATACTCAACTCATTTGGTTCATGAACCTAGTTCAACGATTTAATTGTCGAGTCGAATTCCGAACTATCTTCGAGTTGGTTTGGTTCATTGCCAGCCCTAGGTAATACCATCAAAATTTGTTTTAGATTTATCAAAATATATGATTTTTATTTAATAAAAACATCAATTTTAATACTTTCAATACTAAAACTAATTAACTTATATAAAAAATTAATATATTCTTATTAAAGATTAAGTCAATTAGATAATTATTAATTAAAAATTAAACATAAATGAGTACATCTATTCAATAAATGATTTTGTATTTTTATTTATATGAAAAATAACATTTATATTTATATTTCCAACAGTAACTCTATCCTTGCATATTCGGTACTTAGATACGTAATTGTTATCATTCAACAGTTTCAATAATTGTTGCATTTCAGTTCTATTCTCTCTAAGCGCCTTGCTGGTTAGGTATCAAATATTATACACTTGTTTAATATTTGATATATTTTCGGGTATTTTCCGTTTCAATGTTGCAAGTATATTTTTCGGTTGAATCAAACTCAATGTCATATTAGTAATGCATTCATTCTCTTCCGGCATGAGCTGCCACACATTAGAATGTCAGACTAATTTTCCACACAAATCATGGTTATGCAAACCATATATCACATTAAATCTCCAGTTTTTGTTTTCCAATATGTAACCACACACCTTAAACGGACACTCACATTTTCTTGAACTGGTGTCGTCTCTTTAAAAGTTTCAGAGAAGAGTTATATATTTTTCGTTTCTTTCGCACGTCATTGTCACAAAACACACATTTTCTATCCGAACCATTATCAGACCTTCCAATAACCACGTCTAATCCAAGTTTAGAGACCTCCATACGAATCCATTGAAGCGTTTGATCACGAGATTCAAACTCTTACTCATTTTTAAATTGGTTGCCAAAATCTACGACCTTCACGACAACACCTTGAACATTCGGAGAAACAACTTATTTTAGAAAAACATCAGGGTTCACCATAGCTAATGAAAACAATTAAAACCATAACATTATATAAGCGTCACTGCTAAAAACAAACTTGGAAAATGATCACAAACTAGTTTCGGAGATGCATCTCCCGACTAGTTCATACTTGTTTTGGAGATACATTTCCGAACACAATGCTCGTTTTTTTTCCAGAAAATAATGTTTGATTAATGTGAGAAATAAGGGATCTTTACCTGAAATTCTATCTTTTTTTTTCTTCCTAAGATGTGATGAACCATAAGATTGGAGATTTGTAGTGTAAAGATGGATTGAGAATGAAGGGGTTTTTGGTGATAGTTTGTGTTGAAAAACAACAATGGCAATAATGGTTGTGTGATCATGCAATTGTTTCTTTTATCAGATTATTCCGAAGATTCATCTCCGAAAAATATCTAACATGCAAAGGTGATAAAATATTTCAAAATCCCGTCCAAATTTCCGGAGATGTACCTCCGGAATTTCTACTGAACTGATCAATAATTAATATTTTTCTTGAAATGTTCGATAGATACATCTTCAAAATAAAAATAATCCAACTTATAGGGCGCCACTCAAAATGGTTTGTGTTGAGTGTGTAATGGATGCGTTCGGAGATGCATATTCGAAAACTGGAAGCATGTTTGGGTTTTTGCGTGGTGCCTAAGAAATGTTGAAGTTTTAGTGGTAATTCAAGTGCTGATGTGCATTATAGTAGCAGAAAAGTCTATTTTTC